TAGGAGAAGACCCTCACCAAGTCATGCCAACATGAGAATTAATCGAACATCTCTCTCTCTCTCTCTCTGACATGAGAATTATCTAATCTCTCTCTCTCTCTCCTCTCTCTCTCTCTCTCTGTATTTTTGCATCGAGCCCTTGGAGCTTGTACACTTGATCGCGAGTTGGAATCGCAATCGCTTGGTCGTGACTCACAAGAGGGGCGACGACTACCCAGCTATTCAATGCTGCAAGGCCTCGAGAGCCTTGAACTGAGAACGAGCCTCTGACATTGGATACCACTGCCCATCCATCGCTGCGGAAGTGGGAGACGCTGTGAAGCAGCTGGCGCTCACAATTTGAATGAACGCAAAGATGCCTTCTCTGCCAGCGATTGCTACATCGAGGAGTTCAAGGCTTCGAATGGAACAAGTTCCTGCCTTCACCGCAATACAGGTGACTCCTGAATCATGAAACGCAGCTGCATACTGATGGCAACAACGGTGGGTATCTGTTGGGCACGGATCATACAAGGGCAGCGCTGGCCACAGAACCGCTTCTATGAGTTTGACGGCCACAAGATCCATGGGACCTGCCCTTTCATTGGAACGCGCTACACTGTGGCAACAGAAGATGGCCAAACTTGAAGGTCAGAGCAGGTCTTGGAACTTGCCTGAGCGATCGCTTGGGAGCAATCTGTGACTGAGCCGCCCAAGGGCATGAGGCGCAACTACAAATGCCATCGGTTCAACGGCGCACAGGCTTGGCTCGATGCCATGGAATGAGATGGCCTCCACAAGAAAGAAAGCAAGGAGCACAAGAGATACAAAAGCTGGGTGATGCTGTCACACAGCTGGTGATCCATCTATTCAATGACTTAGAAGACGCTATCTCTACCAGAGGCCAATACATCGAAGTGGCTAAGGCTTCGCGTTGTGCAGATATGGCACGAAGGGCTTCGCATGTTGAGTGGCAGTGGGTGCTGGAACCCATGTGGTGACGCTGGTGCACCTTCATGCCGTCAGAAAAAGAAACAACATTAAGAGCAAGCAAGTGGCGGCGTCTTGATCACAAGTAAATGACAGTGTCTCGAGCATGTCTGTTGAGCAAACAAACCCAATGTCTCTGGACCTCTGTGGTCTGATTCTATGCTTGGCTTACTGTCCCTCACTCTCTGGACCTTTGTGGTCTGATTCCATGCTTGCCTTACTCTGCCTCACTCTCTGGACCTCTGTGGTCTGATTCTATGCTTGCCTTACTGTGCCTCACTCACTAGTTGCATTCACCCCCCCCGTGGTACATCAGCCTGACCCAGTGCATTGGAGCTCTTTGCATGCTGTGGCTAGGAACACTCTGTGTGCTCTTTGTGTGCTGTAGTTAGCTACCCTGTCTGTGCTCTTTGCGTGCTATAGTTAGCTACCCTGTCTGTGCTCTTTGTGTGCTATAGTTA